TGTAAGAGCTCAAACACGGGTCCCTGCAGTCTGTGATGTGGAGGGTGGAGAAGATGTGCTTTGTGCTTTCCACTACTTTTTCTTCCCTGCTATCTGATTTTTATAATTTAGTGTGCTGCAGTGATAAGAATTTATTGGGCTGGAGAGATGGCCCAGTAGTTAATACTGACTGCTCTTCCAGAGGACCCAGGTTCAGCTCCCAGGACCCACATGGTAGCTAACAATCATCCATAACTCTAGTTCCAGATGATCCAATCCCTTCTGGCCTCCTTGAACACTGCATGCATGCGGAGCACATAAAATAAAAATGAGTGCTTCTTTTTTTTTTTTTTTTTTTTTTTTTAAGACTTCATGGGCTGTAGAGATGGCTCAGCAGTTGAAAGCAGAGGACCTGGGTTCAGTTCCCAACACCCAAATGGCAGCAAATAAATACAAATTTTTAAAAGCAATTCATTACATATTTTCTTATCCAGCTTCCCAACCTGAAAAAAAGGGTGTGTGTTGGGGGAGGGGAAATACATGTTTTTTTTTTTTTTCCCATAGTTTGTCTGTTTTCCCAGTCTTAAAGTTCCCTTTAGGACTATTAATACTTTTTAATTATGTAGTTCAACCTGGTGCTAGCATCTGCCCATTGAATCACTTGTATATGTACTTGTACTTGTTTAAATACCACTTTGAGGGGCTGGGGATATAGGTCAGTTGGTAGAGTGCCTGGCTGGCATGCACAAAGTGCTGGGTATGATCTGGAGCTTAAAATCAAGTGTGGTGCCACACAACTGGAATCCAAGTACTTGAGGGATAAAGACAGGAGGGTCATCTTTGGCTACATAAATACTGTCACGGCCAGCTGCATGTGTAGAATGTGCCAAAGAGAGGGAGACAGGCAGACCATGAGAATTCTATCACACACACCAAAAGTTTAAATTGTTGTAGATTACTTTTTTTTTTTTGGTCTTTTTGAGACAGGGTCTCCCTGTAGCCCTAGCTGTCCTGGAACTCACTATGTAGACCAGGCTGGCCTTGAACTCACAGAGGATCTGCCTGCCTCTGCCTCCCAAGTGCTGGGATTAAAGGCGTGCGCTACCACACCCAGCTAGATTACTGCTTCTAAATGTCAATATCCTCACCGATTTAAGACCATCAGAACAAATAAGTAAAATAGATTTGTTTCTCATTCCGTTTAAAGCAGTTTTAACTTCAAAGAAAAGTAATAAGACCCGTGTAAGCCAGAATACAAAGAATGTTTCTGCTGACAAGTTTCATCCACTACCTGCAGGTAGTTCCACCAGTAAAAATAAAGGATCAGAAGTAGAAAGGTTAAAAAAAAAAAAATCAATTTGTGGTATCTAAGTTATATGTTTACTTACACTAAACTCATAAGGACTAAAAATTTATAACTGCAGTAATTTTTAAGTAATGGACTAAAACTCAAGTTATTTCCCAAAACTGAACAAGCGTCCATGATAAACTAGTACTTTCTTTTTTTGGTCTTTTTTTGAGAAAGGGTTTCCCGATAGCCCCAGCTGACCTGGAACTCGCCATGTAAACCAGGCTGGCCTTGAACTCAGAGAGATCTGCCAGCTTCTGCCTCCTGAGTGCTGGGATTAAAGGTGTGTGCCACCATGCCTGCCTGATAAACTAGTACATTTGAAAGCTGACTATCTAGAACATACTTATATAGGATACAGAGTGAAATAAAATGTTTTTCCATTAAAGATTAAGTATTACCTGAATTTTGCCTTTGCAAGCAAGACTACCCAGTTAGTTACATGGCTCACATGACTTCCCTGCTTCAACAACCCTAATGAGCTCCTCTTGAGATGGGCAGTTTCTGTTTTGAAGACTCCCCAGAGTGACTGTGTGCAGAACACCTATTACCTACCAATGCAGACTTAAAACGGGGAAGGCCTGGAAAGATGGATGACAGGAGAAAGCCATCACCACCAATTCAGAAAGGCCTTATCATAATTCCTGGGCAGCCAAAGCATAAGTGAAACAGCTCACTGTCAAGAGAAATAAGGGATGACCAGCCAAAAAGAGCCTATGCGACAGCTTAAAAGCTTGCCGTGCTGCTTGCCAACATGCCATCGCTGCCATATACCGTCTACCCTAGGAGCTACTCTGAGGCAGTATATATGCTGACACCTCCATGCTTTATTTCTATGCAACTGTGGCAGAATGTATAATATCATCCTTATTTCCTGCCTTTTCAATGTCCAAAGTCATTCTCAAAACTCAACAGTTAAACATAACTAGAAAAATACATACATTACTAGAAAAATAGATACACCCAGTAAACAGTCCCTTGGGTCTAGAGTGTTTGGGACTTGGAAAAAATTATTAATAAGTTTAAAGGGTCTTACTGTGAGCCGGGATAATCTAGAATAAAGAGGGGCAAGATCTGAACTGCTGCTTTCAAGTAGTCTAGGAGAGAGTGGAAGTCCGATCAATGTGTAGGCTTTTCAGTAAAGTGACTAAATACATATAAAAAAATTTAAAAATATTTAATATTTTTGTGTGTATGGGTGTTTTGCCTACATATATATATGTATGTGCAGCTCATGTGTGCAATGCCTGTGGAGGTCAGAGGATCCCCTGGAACTGGAGTTATGGATGACTGTTTGCAATCATGTGGGTACTGGGTGGAGTTATGGATGACTGTTTGCAATCATGTGGGTACTGGGAACAGAACCTGAGTCTTCTGCCAAGAGTATCCACTGAGCCATCTCTCCAGGCCATCTGAATTGGCTGGCCAACAACATCTAGATACCGGAGCTGAGAGTATAGATGTATGCTGCTGCTCCTGGCATTTCGTGTGTGTGTGTTATAGGCATGTGTGTGGGTATCTATCTCTATGGCTCTCTGGCTGTGTCACTGAATCTCAAGCTCATTGCTTCCCTTAGAGTGACTGGCCAAGGAACCCTGCCTCCAGGATCTGCCTATCTCTGCCCTTGCCCCACCCAGATAACTAGCACAGAGTTGTAGGTGTGCACAGCCATGTGCCCAGCTTTTAATGGGTTCTAGGCATTTGAACTTAGGTCCTCATGCTTGCATGGAAAACACTTTGCTGACTAAACCATCTCCCTAGTCCCATAAATGGAAGAAAAATTGCTGCAGTTGTAAATTTTTAGTCCTTTGACTAACAGTTTTGAATGTGAGAGATGAGAGTTGGTGTCATCTAAATATTTTATTTCAACTGTTAGAGTTTTAACATCCTAAAATAGTGCCAGGTGTGATAGCACACATCTTTAATCCCAACATTCAGGGGGCAAAGGCAGATGGATCTCTGTGAGTTCAAGGCCAGTACTGGTCTGTATATCGAGTACCCAGGTACCTAGGAATACATAGACTGTTTCTCAAAAAAAAAAAAAAACAACAAAACCCTGGAATAAAGTTTCAGGCCTGTCCTTTATTGGAAAATAGGTCAAATCCCAAAGCCAGCTCTTTTAATAAATTAATGAATAAAAATGACTATTTTATACATTATAAATCACTTCTAGTAAATGGTATATTTTATGGCTTGTAAACCAAAGTTTTAATCAATAAAGAAAGTTTTTAATCTTCAAAAACAATTATAAAAGGCGCGATTTGTCATCAAACATGGTATTTGGCTGTGTTTGTTGGGGTCTTTTTAGGACTCTCATACCTTAGTTTAATCCCTGATAGAGTGACATTTTCTGAAATGCTTTAAAGATGTGCTCTGCTGTTTTAATGTGCTAATGGTGTATTTGTTATAATTTCAACCTTTTTTTTGGCTTTTTGAGAGAGGTTCTCCTTGTAACCCCACTGGCCTGGAACTCACTAGGTAGGCTGGGTTGACCTTGAACTCACAGGTTCAGCCTCAGCCTCCAGATTAAAGGCATGCACTACCACGCCCAGCTTTCTTTCTCTTCTTTACTAAAGTCCTGTTTCTTCACTGTCCCCAATATAGTAAATACAAGATGAAGAGTATTTAAACTTACTGATATTCCTATCCAGTTAACAATAAAATAGTTTTATTTTTAGCATATAGTCATAAACAGACACGGTGTGGTGCTACATGTCTGTAGTCTCAATTACTTGAGTGGCTGATGCAGGAAGACTGCTTCACCCCAAAGAGTTCAAGGCATGTTTCATCAGTGGCAGTGTAGCAAGACCCTGTCGGTCAGTCAGTCAGTCAGAGTAAAATCATCTTACATTCACTGTATAGATACCTGACACACTTTCTCTTTCTCTCTCTCTCGATGGATGGATATAAGAAAAATAATTATTGAATCCTAGGTATAGTGTGGACTCCCAATATGATACAAAGTTTTTTAATTATACTGCAATTTTATCTATTAGATAGTTTATCTATTATAGTCTATATATATTAGAGTACAGAAATTTGATAGGGGGTTAAGAAGTGAGGCATAGATAAGCCTTGAACTTGTGATCCTCCTGCCTTTTTGAGTAGCTGGCCTTGTAGGACTATGCTACCAGGCATGACTAAAATAAATGTTTCTGGACTGGGCAAAATGGCTCATCACCTAAGGGTACTTGCCACCAAGTCTAATGACCTGAGTTTGATTCCTCAGGACCCCCAGGGTGGAAAGAGAACCAAGCACCGCTGCAAGTTGTCTTCTGATCTCCACATATAAAATAAATATTAGCTGCATACAAAATAAATATTAAAAGGGAAATGGAATGGATGAAGACTACTCCATTAAAATGGATGTATCATCATTTACTTGAGCTTATTTTTGGACATTTAGGTCATTTCTAAAACAGTGTTGCAGTGAATGTCTTTATCACTAAACCTTTGCATACATCTTTTATTTTCTTAGACTGAATTTCCAAAATTGTAATTATTTGCTGAAAGTGTAAATGCATGTTAAGATTTTTGTTTAGGAAAGTTAGGCCACTGTACTTCCACCAACAGTGACTCCTCTAAACCTAACTTCATGGGTCTTTTAATTCTTAGCAAAGACTAGAACCTTGATTTCAACATTTATTGTCACTTAAACATCTCTTCCTTGCAGAAGTAATTCCATACCTAGAATCTGGAGTTACCCTTTTCTCCAGGAGTCACCCTGAATCTGAGCTTTCTAAAGAGAAAGCCCCAGAGCCAGCTCATGTTTCGATCTCTGCCTTGAAAATATCCCAGTGTCAAGCTGCAGAATATTCCAAGAGCCCAGCTGCTGCTCATAGCACTGATACCGAGGTGGCAAAAACCGTGAGCAAGACAAAGTCAAAATGGACTTCTTCAAAAGGAAGAGACAAGAAAATATCCATGGTGGTTTCAGGCTTGACCCACAAAGAAATAGTGAGTGTCTCAATATGTATCTCTGTATTGACTGGGACTTAACTTATACTGCTTAATATTTCTCTATAAATACTAGCAGTGAGTAACGTGCAGGAAAAAATCTATTTTAGAAAATAATGAATACTAGGTACACTGTGGGATGTGATACAAAGTTTTGGAATTATATTAGGACTTTCTTTTTATCTAAAAAGATAACTAGATGTAGCTGCTCTCCCCAAAAGGCATCTTTTTTCCCTCCTCAGTTCATATGTGAGTGAACTTAGAAAATATCTAACTATGTGCAGACTGGTTCTAAGAATACAGCCAGACTAGCATTTCTCCAAGGTTTGTCTTTCTTTATCTTGGTTTGTAAGATAGTTCTTCAATAGTGTGCCCTGGCATTTCTTCCCTGTAATACCCCTCACTGATTAGGATTTGGATATCTCCTTGGACTCCTGTGCCAGAAATGGGAATTGTTTCACATTATGTAAAAATACTCATTAAAACATTAAGACTATTGAATCCTTGTTTCTCTTTAAGCTACTTGTAGATTTCAAACATCCTGGGAAATTTTTTAAATAATTTAATCTTTTTTTTGGTGGGGGAGCTTCTAGACAAGGTCTCCCTGTAGCCCCAGCTAGGCTGGCCTAGAATTCACTATATCGACCAGGATGGCCTTGAACTCACAGAGATCCACCATGCCCAGCTTTGAACATTTCTTTAAAACATGATAACATGGGGCAGGAGAGATGGCTCAGCTGTTCTTGCAGAGGACCCAGGTTCGATTCCCAGTACCCATGTAGCAGCTAAAAACTGTCCTAACACCAGTTCCAGGGGATCCAGTGCTCTCTTCTGCTATCTGCAGGCATTGTACAACACGGGTGCACTTACTTACATGCAGGCAACACACTCACACATATAAAATAATGAAGAGTTTTATTTTTAGTTTTTTCGTGGTTTTTTTCTTTTTGAGACAGGTTCTCCCTGTAGCCCCAGCTGGCCTGGAATTCACTATATAGACCAGGCTGGCCTCAAACTCACAGAGATCTATCTACCTGCCTCTGCCTCCCAAGTGCTGGGACTAAAGGCATGCGTCACCACGCCCTGCATAAATGAAATTTTATAAAAATAAAAAATAAACATGAGGGACTGGAGAGATGGCTCAGTGGTTAAGAGCACTGACTGCTCTTGCAGAGAACCCGGGTTCGATTCCCAGCACCCACATGGCAGCTACAAACCGTCCTTAACTCCAGTTCCAGGGAATCCGAAGCCCTCTTCTGACCTCCGCAGCATTGCACAACATGGGTGCACTCATGTACATGCAGGCAATACACTCATACCCATAAAGTAAAAATAATAAAATATAGGGGCTAGAGAGATGGCTCAGCAACTAAGAACACTGGCTGTTCTTGCAGAAGACCCGGGTTCGAATCCTAGCACCCACATGGCGGCTAACAACTGTCTATAACTCCAGTTCCAGGGGATCTGACGGCCTTTTTTGTCTTCCACGGGCATTGCACGACATGGGTGTACTTACCTACATGCAAGCAATACATTCATACGCATAAAAAAATTATAAAAAAATAAGTCCAGCATGGTGACGCACGCCTTTAACCAGCACTTGGGAGGCAGAGGCTGGTGGATCTCTGTGAGTTCAAGACCAGCCTGGTCTACATAGTGAGTTCCAGAACAGCTGGGGCTACAGGGAGACCCTGTGTCAAAAAAGACCAAAAATAAATAAATAAATAAATAAATAAATAAATAAATAAATAAATAAGTAAATAAATAGCAAAAGATGGTGAGGAAACTAAAGTCCCACTTTCCTTTCTGTGGGCATGTCCCCATTTGGCCTAAGGACATTCCACTAGGGTCTTCCTCTTAAAAGTCTCCTTACTTCCCAGCATTGCCACCCTAGTGTTCCTGGAATTTGGATATCCCTTCGTGGTTGCCAGATGATACAGGAGAAATTGGGGTACCCTTTTTGGGTCTTAGTTTCATTAGTAAAAGTATTTAAGAATGAAGTCAAGTCGACGTTTTAAGGACAATTCTATGAGAATTAAAAGGAAACTCTCAGGGCAGGTAAGCTGTAAATCTCAAGCAGCTGCCCTGAGGAAAGAATGGAGGAGAGAAGGAAAAACTCATGTTCTATACCTGTTTAAGCTGACATGGAGGTCAGACCCCCGGCAGCCTAGTAGCCACTCAAGCCGAGGGGGGAAGCTTTTGAGAAAGAGTAAAGAAACCCAAGAGGTGGGGACAGCCAAGAGTGTCAGGGAAAGCAAGCTTAGAAAAGAACTAGAAAGAAGAAAAAGAGAGGTGATACTTTTCTGAATTCTGAAAAGGGGTTGGACTTACGAAGATGAAAGTCTACAGTCTGCTAAGCTGCTCTA